AGTTACATGAGTGAACCTGCTGTAGGATCAGCTGTTCACAGTTCAGGAGTCTGGAAGAAAAGCTTACATCTAGAAGTCAAGATTGATTGACTGATTTAAGGGAAATTCAGCATAGTTACCATGCACTGGGCTCCATCCCCAGGAACATTCCTGCCCAAGAGACACAAGATGTTATTTCAACCTGGTAACAGATCATCAAGAGTCTGTTTTGCACATTAACCACTAATTCTCCTTGATGGATGCAAGGCAAACCAGAAAACTCAGAAGGATCAATTAAGAATCCATGTGCTCATTCAGGACTGCTCTTAGTGCACAAATTAATTCATGGACACGTAGAGAACACATGGACTGTAAACGAAAAGTTTACAGTTACAAAACAATCTTCAGATGTACTCTGACATTGATTGTGAATTCCCTTCTTTATCATCCTGGCTGATTAAAAGAGAAAAACAGCCATTAGGTGATATCTGTTACATAAAGCAATTGGTGATCCAGTTGATCCTGTAATGAGAAAGGCACAAAGATCCCTCCCCACGTCACACCACGAGAACTTTCTCTGGAAAAAAAGGGAAGAAAATAAAGCAATTCCAGAATTGTACCCCAGTTTCTGCCTATGATAGTTAACACAGTCCTGTAGGAAAAGTGCAAGCCAGAAGAAGTGGGCTCCAACAACAGCTCCTTTCCTGGAAGATGCTGTGCAGAATCTGAAATATTAGGTGCCCTCTGTTGCTAGCTTTTGCCCTCCTAGCAGCTTTCGCCATTCACTGTCGCTTTTGATAAATCATTTATTAGAGAAGCGCTTTTACATAATCCCTGGGGGCGGAGGGGGGGAAGGAAAAAAGAAAAAAACTACCAATATCCCCCCCATAAAGTAGATTTATCACAAAATGCTGTCCCCCTACCAACTGTCTTCAGACCAGAACATATATTTCTTTGATTATTAATTAACTGATGCACAGAAAGAACTTCAAGCTTTTTAACCTCTCCCTTTCCCTTTCGTCCTTCAAGCATGTCGATGACAATGCAGAGGTGGTGTTCAAAACACAGATAGCAACTGTAATACTGCCATCATGTTTTGAGCCCGTGGGCTCAAGTACTAAAGCCATTTAGGAACTGAGTATTTATGTTATTTTCCCAGTGCATACATTCTATTCCTAGTCATACATGTTCAAATCTGTCATAGTAGCATGAATCCCACTGACACAGGTGAGGAGAAACAAAGATTGTTGACTGCCAATATTGCGTATATCAGCAACAAAAAAAGTCAAATCTGCCAGTAGGTATTTGACCTGAGAAGAGAAAGGAACATGCTGCTGTTAGCCCAACATGCCTTTCTCTCTGCCTATCACTTATCCACTGTAAAGTCTCAAATCTCAGGATAATCCATAGCTTTCTTTCTCTTTGGAGTTCATCCAAATACCTTCTGCAATACCAAACACAGCTATACATAAATAATAGGAAAAGGGGAGACTTGGATGCACCAGCAACTTCTGAGCATATCAAGGCCCCTAAAAACTCAAACAGTGAAATGAAACTAGAGTAATTAGCTACTCTGTCCCTAGACTATGATCACAAAGAAAATACACAGTTATTGGCATTTGCCCATCTCTTTTCTCAGCTTTCAAATCCACTTCCTCTAGCCTCAGCGTCCAGCCAGAGGAGATCTTTATATTGCATCAGTGAATACTAGAACAACTAAGGAGAAAAAAATCTGGTCCAAATCTATAGGCAACTAATACCAGAATCAGAGTACAATTCCCAGCTTCATTATCTGGTCTAAATGAAATATAGTGAGCAAATGCACTTCTGATCTCTCTTATTAGTCCCATTTGTTAAAATGCTGTATTACTTACAGTTTTGCACAGAATGAGGAAGTGGGCTTAGAATTTCATCTCGAATGCAAAGTGATGATAAAAACTGGTAAAACTTCATGAGATTATATCACAGCAAGGTTCTTGCACAGGTACAACTATATTAGCACCTCAGCACAAGGGCTTATCATCCCTCTAAGGTCTAGTCTTCACAAAAGAAATAATGATCTATCATAGTGAGCAGCATCTCTGGTAGGGTTTAATTCAGCAATTAACATCACTTTAGGGAGTGATCAACCCAGGCATTTAGACAGTTAACTTTTTATGTTGAGATGTCACTCCTAACTGTGGAACCAAGTAGATCCCACAGCAGAGGTTCCTTGATTTAAGCTGGGTGCCTGCCTTCACTGCAGCCAGCATTGCTCCCTAATCAGTGATTCATTTGAACACAGCTAAAGGTGTCCTGATAAAACAGAGAAATCCTGCCCTACCCTCCACTGACTGCATTGGCAGGACCTCCACTGATTACTGTAGGATCCTAAAGTGACATATTCACAAATGGATGGATGTGCAGGCACAATCTAGATGTGCACATGTAGGCAGTAGGAGGGACATCCCAAAGGACCTGTTGCAAGAGTAGAAATCAAAGTTTCCAGGGAAGGTATGTTCTCTGAAGGAATGAGCTAAGCAACCATTCAGCTGCAGCCAACTCAACTTTGATATTGGACTGCTGTGTGTATATCAGCAAAGTAAACATACCTGGCATTTGTCCCTAGCACTCAGGACAGCTGGCACAAAATGGCCTACACCCAAATTATTAATTTCTCTCAATTTCCAGAACATCATGGACACATCCAAGTTAACCACTGAGCACAGCCTGTCTTGTGTGCTAAAACTCACACTTTGTCCAGGAATTGTTTGATGTTAAACATTAGTCAAAAAAACCTCAGCACTACAGATTCCAGTTTCTCTGAACTTCCATGGAACAGCTTTAGTCTTTAGATGTAACTGATGTGTGTTGGCCAGGAATATCAGAAAACCAGATGTGATTTTTAAAAAGAAATGAGTTTCACTACATCCTATATTCAAGGATATGAAGTATATCGACAACATATTTAAGGTTGAAGCTCAAGTAAGGCATCCCCAAGGGAGTTTCCAGAAGTATTTATGGCTGAATGTACTTGAGTGAACCCAAGTACATTTATTCACGTGTTTCATTTATTCCATTGCTGAGAATGAATTATAGGACTTTGTTGATAGATTATTCAAGTAGTCACATGCAAACTGGTAACATCACCAATCACTTACTGCCTAAAAAGTGAGGGCAAGAGCAGATCCATTGCTATTGCATAAAACCACAGCTCATTACTCACTATAGCCCTCCAGTTTTCTTTGATGATTCCTGTGGGGCTTGAGAGTACTTTTTGTTCATCTTCAGAGCTGCAGTGTTGGTACCTCCTCATGCAGTGGGTTGGACAGAAAAATGTGCAGACAGCCAGTTTACTTGGAGCCTTGGCTTCAAAAGGGGAGGACAAAGAAGGTTTCCTACTTATTCCATGGGCATCCCTTTTAAAACCCAGTGTACCATACTCAGCAAACCTGTTGTCTCACTTTGAGAGACTAAGACCTTAGTCTTTCATGACCTGGCATGAAATTACATTATTAGCCAAGGTCAGGGAGAACATCTTAATGCAGGGGTGAGAAGTTGCCTTTGCATGCACAGCTGTGTCTTTTTCAGATGCAAGACACCCTATGTCACCAGTGAGACTCACTTCCGAAGAGGAACTAGACCAGGGAGGAGGAGCTGCAGAATGAATCCACAGCACAGCCCAAGGCTGTAAGCCAGACCTGGTGCTGCTGTCAGGAGCAGGTGTATACCTGGCAGCAAACACTCAGCATTAGCTTTTTGAGGGGTTTGCAATAGCCATCTCTTCATTTCAGCCTATCTGTTGAGCAAGGCTCCTAGGATTGATTTGTGCTGCCAGAGCCTTGCAGGGCTAGGTAAACAGATGGCTTTGTCTGGAGAGCAGGCTGGTCCAGGCTAGTCTCACCCAAGGTTTGTGCTCAGAAATGTTGTTGGCACACAGGGACATTTCTGGCAAAAGTAGCAGAAGCAATGCTTGTACAATGTGATGGCCCCCTGCCTTACTGATATCTCAGAGCCATGGTCACTCCAGCTTCAGCCATAAACAGCATGGGAAAATGAGGCCTTTTTTTTTAAATCTAACATAAGAAAAAAATTTAAAATAAAAATACATTTAAAAAATAAACCCAAAAACAAACAGAAAAAAAAGGCAAAGCTATAGCAAGAGCTCTCCCCTGAGCTGAATGCATTAGATGCATTGCATCCTATGTGGTTGACCTATATTATTTCATCAGACTGTTAGAGAGCAAATGAGGACAAAGAATGTCTTAGGTGATCCATAAATACAATACTCAGTCACTATAGTTGTTTCTAGTGCTGGATGTGCTCCGTGGTTGATTGGGAGATTTGCTGGCAAAATTTGAAATTCCATAGGAAAGCAATGTTACGAAAGCACTTGTGTTCACTTCACAACTGCAGAGTAACATGGAGTTTGCAGAAATTGCCAGTGATTAAAGCTCTTTATATTGCTTGGCTGGCCAACAATCAAACCATTCATGCTGATTAATAAGATAATGAAGAATTTATTATATTCACATTTTACTTATATTGCCATAGTAAGGACGTAGTAGTAGGTATGTCAGGTTCCCCTCATCATTAGTATTGGAAGACAAAGAAAAGGTTATGATGGCAAGTTAAGGAAGGTTTAGAGGTTTACCTAAGTCACAGTGGAGGGAGATAGAGGAAAACAGAATGCCTTGAGACCATGCATTACATCTGCTGACTCCCAGCTCAAAGGTGACCCAAATCTTGCGGCACCAACATTTGGATCCCTGTGCTCCACATAGTCTAGTGTTCAGATTGGCACTCAGACCAGGCACTGTGTCCTGGGACACTGATCTGTAACCCCTCCTATCCTTTGTCCCACACTGGCAACCATCCTCTCCTCACTCTCCTGCCCACCTGCCCACCCTCCTTCCTCCTCACTTCCCTCCTCTCAGTGCCCTCACTGCCTTCCCCATGTTCATTCTCAGTGGTCGTTGCATGTACGTGCCTTGGCACCCTTCAGCTCATTAAGTCCCCTGCCTTGCCTCGTGTTTTGACAGGTTTTGTGAGTTTTGACAATCCTGCCAGTGCCCAAGCTGCTATCCAGGCCATGAATGGATTCCAGATTGGCATGAAGAGGCTGAAGGTGCAGCTGAAGAGGCCAAAGGATGCTAATCGTCCCTACTGAAGGGTTGTGGGAACCGCTGGATACAAAGCACTAGCACAGGTAACTGCATGGGGAAGGGGGTGTCAGCTACACCTGTAGCATCTCTCTGTGTTGTAGACCCTCAAGGAGATTCAGCTCTGTGACTCTCTATCTTCTGCCTTTTTGACTCTGGCTAGAGCCACTCTGCTCAGACATGCACCCATGCATAAACTGGGAACTGTTTGTGTGTGTGTCTCTAGAAAAAGAGGTGGAAGGATGCTCACCAAGGGATAAGACAAATTCCTCATCCCATGGTCATCCTGCATCTCTAGAAAGTGTTTCTGGTCACTAGAGGAGAGTCAGCAGCTGTCCTGATTCCCCCTGCTCAGTGAAAGAGAGCATTTCTGGTGCTTGAAGACAATCTGCAATTAAGAGGTGGGACTGGGCTGCGGTTTAATCCCAGGTGACTGGACTGGGACAGTGTCTGTCTCAAAAGCTCTGTGTTGCAAACGTTTCAAAGCATTCTTCATTCTTCATGCGGTACAGTCTGTATCCAGTTCCATCTCAGCATAATAACTTAATGTAAATGTGTCTCCTTGACAACAAAATAACCCCTGATTTATTTCTTCACAAACCCAGGAAATTAATAGAATGATCCATGCTCACTTCTTGGTCAGTTGTTTAAAACTCCTGTGTGTAGATAAAACCCAACCAAAGCCAAGGAAGCTTAGCTGGAGTAAGGACCTGGGGTCTCGTTTTTAGACTCATTTGCCATGTACTGCTGGAAAGAAGCCAGCTAGAGGTTTCAAGGGAACTTCTTATACATGTAACAGCACCAAAAATTTCAGAAGCCACAGCTTGTTTCATTGGAATCCCAACGTATCATCAATAACAAAAATGAAGATGTTTCCGAAAATGGAAATATTTTCTACCACTGGGTTGCTCTTTCATTAGGTAATTCTTTGAGAAACAGAAATATAAAGTCCTATGTGTTTGTTTACAGAGACAGGGAACAATAGGGAAGTCTCCCTTTTGTTAAAACTGTTCCACACCAGAGGTTCCTCAATAAATTCAGCACCTAAGGAAGCCCTAAGCAATTTGTACTCCTGAATTAGGGATAAAGAGATTGGTTAGGTGACCTTTCTATGTCATTTTAGCTGTAATGTCTAAGATTCTGTGATTTTTATTCAGGCCTCTTTTGGTTCATCTAAGACAGGCAGGAAATCCCTATCTTCAACTTTCCCAAAGGAAAACAGAGTGTTTTAATTTTTCTCTGGGATCCCAAATATCTTTGAAAAATATATTTTTCCAGTCTTCAGAGCAGTATCCTTTCCAATGAGAATTCAGGAATGAGATCAAAATGTCTTTGAAAGAGGTGCTGCACTGAAGACAGCATAAAGGAGATTAAAACCTTTCAATAAACATATTAGGTGCATGTGCAGGAAACAGCCTCCATAGTTTAGAACCTCCTTTATATGTGACTACATGAAGATAAGCGTTAATGCATTTTCCCCCTTATAAACCTCTTTTCTTTTTCTTGCTTATGAAAAGGCCTCTTGGAAGCTTGAAACCAAAACCTGTTGCCATATCCAAATGCTTTTTGCTTCATCACACTGGCTTTTTTTCTGCAGGCTTTGCAGGGGAGGGGGGGGGGGTGCATGCGTGCAATTGTGTTAAAGCAGGGGCTGCCTTTGTCAGGGAGGCTTTCTGTGACACCTGCAAAGGGATCAAGGGACACAAAGGTCTCCCTAGGTAGGCACCAGGCTTTATGCCTCAGCATAGCTGTGCTGGCTGACAATATGCTTGTTTCTCATGGTGGTGTCAGAAGATGCAGGGCTGTGGATATCTGTGCTGTTCAAGATTTGCCAGTATGAGTCTATGGTGGTTTTTATCATCATGGTTCACCATGAAGTGCTTTGAGGTCTCAGCTTATTTCCTACAAAAGGTTGCTCACTAGTAGGACAAAGATTTGTTGCTTGGGCATTTTTCCCCCCCCAAAAAATAATAATTAAATAAAAAGGAATCAGTAAGTAAAATGGTAATAGAATTCCATATTTGTCCTTCTTAAATAATTTTTTTCCTTTCCTTTGCTTCTACTAAGCAGAACAGTCTTGAAGACTTGCCTCTAGATAGGAAGTCCTTCAGCCTTCCTGGATTTTACTTCAGCTTTAGTACTCTGCTGTGCAGAAAAATCATTCTGTTTTTACAATCAGATCACTTCCACCCTTTTCTCCTTGTTTAGAGACTTGCTTAGAGACCCTATCAAAATGTATCTCAGAGGTCCTTGTTCTCTTGCATACTTACACCTTACACCTTATTGAGCCTGTTGCAGGAGCTGTACCCAACTTTTAGCAGAAAGGAATTCTCCAGGAAAAAAAGTTTTATACATATGTTTTTCCACCTGACAGAAGGAATTGCCCGAGTGCATGTGGTCCCAGGAGAACACTGCAGGAACATTCCGCAGGGGAGGATTTGGGTTATCACAGGGAGAGCCATGCTGCAATAGACTGGAGAGGACACTTGGTGACAGCCAGGATACACAGAGGGTCACATGGGTTTAAACCCAGGTCTTTCTCCAGCTCATCTGCCTCCCAGTGCTTGGGAACATTGACACCAGTGCTCTAGGAGCAGGCAGGATTCTCAGTCAGGAAGGCCACAGGTCAGTTTTTCCACCGGGGCTGAGCAATAGTGATCAGCAGAGAGCTAAGCCCTCAGGAATAAGCCTGACTCAGAGATAAATCAGCTGTTCTTGGCTAAGCACAGTATTATTGTACCTCCACTGCTGGCTTGATTTGCAACTTCCTTTAACTGACAGAAAGATAATAACTCTGCTGTGCTTTTTATCTATCTTTACTTTGGATGCAGTTCTTCAGGGTCTTTAATTCCAATTTGAAGCATGTGTATAACCATATTGACACCAGAGTAATTACTCACATGCTTCAAGAGGATGCTCAAGAAACTTTTTAATTGGGATTTTTCCAAGGAAGGGCTTTTTTTCTATTGAATTGCTTTCAAAAAATAGGAAGTTGAAATGACTACAAAAACAACCAAAAAAAAAAAAAATCAACACCCTGTTTGATATAATACACTAGAGTGTTTTTTCCTAACTGAGAAAGAAAGAACCTCACTAAATTTAAATTCTGAATGCACAAAAAAAAAAAAAAAAAAAAAAAAAAAAAGGTATAAGTCTCCCTTTTGGGACACAAGAAGTCTAGGCCACAGTGATTTGAAGTCCTTTGTTTTTTTTGCAAGTGCTCTAAACTTGCTGTTTAACATTGAAAGGGTTTCTGTGATGCAACAGATAAGCCCAAAGCTACAGCAAGCAAAGACCTGAAGAATTTAGATGGCAAAATGGCTGGCCCTGTTCTCTGGGAGAAAGCAAAAGAGAGGAATATCATTTGAGGCAACTCTGCCGAAATCAGTATATTCTATTGCCAATCTCCACTCAGGACTAGGAAGCAAGGACTCGGAGATAATCCATGTACCTTTCAGACAGTAAATGCACAAAATAATTAAGAAAGAAAAAAACCTGAAACCCACATCTCCCTTAGGTGGCCATTGCTAGAAGCCCTTCCATGCCCTGTGCTAAGAGAAGTTGCAGCTGCAGCCCGCAGTGCCTGGAGCTGTGTGTGAGCCCTGAGCCCACTGCCAGGACAGGCAGGCATGGTAGGACAGCACTGCCTAGAAAACTGCACAGCTCACAGCCCTTCCAGAGCTCAGGGCAGAGCACAGAGCAGCCCAGGAGCATCCAGCTGATAGATCAATAAAAGACATAGGACACAACAGCCCTGAAAATCCTGTCCATTTCCCTTCTGTGACTTCATTGCAGTGGCTGGTCACTGGCAAAGTGATGTTTTCCACCTCAGACAGACACTGATGCTGAAGTTTTATTTAAAGCTAAAGATGCAGAGACATTTGGGTGAATCTAACCCAGAGCCCTGGCATGAAACTGAGTGAGACAAAGTGAGTGTGAGCAAGCTAAATGGAGTGAAGCAAAAGTAAAACAGAAAAGTGAAAAAAAAAAAAGAAATAAGATCAACAGCAAGACTATTTTAGCTGTGCTCCAGAGTAGCGACAAAACATTAAATGGTGCACTGCCCAGACAACCTGCTTCTACAAAACACCAGGGGAAATAGCATAGGCCAAAGCTCAGATACAAAAATAAAAAAAGATTCTCAGGTCCTCCTTCACTGCTTTTTGAACATGGACTGATGTCTGGTTTATTGTAAAATGTGTGAAATACATGTTTTTGCAGCTGTCTGGAGCAGGTGGTATTTTTACTCTAAAAATGTCTTTTTGGTTGGTTGGTTGGTTGGTTTTTTAATTGGAGTGTATATTTTACCAAACTGGAAAATTTTGCATTTTTCTCTTTTTGTTCCCGAATAAAGAAAAAAAATAAAAGGAACCCAAACTCTATTTTAAAGTAAAATAATACTATAAGCCAAAAGTAAAACAAAAAAGCAAAATTCTAAATTGCCATAAACAAAAATATGTGACTGGAAAAACTCTGTCTTCTCTTGTAATTTCAGATGGCTTCAATGCAAAGTCTAGTGAAAATGTATTTTTTACTGAAATTTTTGCTGCTTATGCCTCCCAGATAGCTTTCTATTACATCTAGTGAGAGGCTATTCTGTAGCCGCATTGATCTCATGTTTTCTATTAGGCTATTCATCTTAAGATTCATTCCAAATATGTTTTTTCAAGATAAAACCCCATTTCTTGTAGTTATGTCTCCTACAATCATGCTAACCAGCTCCTCTTCCACCTGCACAGATTATTGTTGTTTCCCTCCTTTAGTCATCACTTAGATTGTTTAGGACTTGCTTACATTATGGAAATTTGCACTAGTATAATTGCATGAAAACAGTACTCCAGCTCAAGCTTTAATATGAGTGAATAAAGAGAGAAAAAAAATCAGCACAGCTTAATTTTGGAAGGTCTGTTCAGGTACTGGAAAAACATCACCTCAGCCAATATTTTTTTCTGTTCTTTGGATTACTTTTGGTTTTCATTTCCACTGACACCTGTGATTAAATTAAGCATCACTCACTGTGTTTGCAACCTAAACTTTCTGCTGTTGT